CTGCTAAGTCCAATGTCAAGGCATTTACCACCTGTTTTTCTCTAGGCATTTTATGATTCTATTCAACTTACATTCAATTCTTTGATCCATTTAGATTCACTTTTTGTGTATAGTTTAAGACAGAGGTCCTGTTTCATTGTTTGCAATTTGTTTCCAATTTTCACAACAGCATTTATCAAAGAGGCTGCCTTTTCCCTATCATACACGTATATTCTTGGCTCCTTTGTCGTAAACTAATTTACTATTTTTTTTTAAATAAATGGGTCTTCCAGAAGATCCTTTATAGGCATAATATCAATATGATTTTTCCCTGTCTTGGAAAAATTTGGGAAGAAATTATGGTGGTAATAGTAAATTTCACCAGGATCTCTGTGTTATGTATCTCAGAAAGAAAGACTTAACATTATTATAAACAAATAACAACATAAAATGCTTTCAGAGTTCCTATGCAAACTCACTGCTTACAAATTCTTCCAAGGTACTCTGAAGTTGTTGCTAAAAATAAAAAAAGGAAGCTACTCATTAGACCCTCCTTAAAGAATATAGATATAATTGCCTTTTTTAGGAGAATACCAAATTGCAAAAAATAATCTTATACTTTTCCTAAAAATTAGGGAGCGAGATTGGCTAAGTCATGTGGGAAAATCTTCATGTTTCCATTAGACTTACAAAACTACAAGTAGGAAGTAGAAAATGGTGATAATATATTAATATTTTGTATCATTGTTTTTAGTAGAGATAAGGAACAGTAGAAACCACTTTGGTTTTTATATGTCTTGGTTTTCAGATATCGTTGTAGTGCATGTTTTTATTTATTTTTATTTTTTAAAGATTTTATTGGGGAATTGGGGGAAGGGAAGAGACAAGTTGCTGTACTTTTGCTCTTCAGTCTAGTTGTGGAGAATGTCACTTCACTGGCTCACGTTGGTATTATCATCGCGCTCTTCCCGGCTGAGGCAGATCGGTCGCTGGCCATTGGAAGGCTGCTCACGGCAGCTTACGGCAGCTCACAAAAGCTCACACCAGCTGTCGACCAGCCCCACTGCAGCCTACAACCATCGCCGGTGACTCACAGCAGCCCAGCTCCAGGTTAAGCAGCTGTTCACCATCTTAGCTGTATGGGGTGCAGAATCACTGGCCCTCATATGTGGGATCCAAACCGGGGCCTGCTCAGAGCTTGCGTGCCAAGCCAACTCTTAACCAACATGCCACTCGGCCGGCCCAAAGAAAGACTGTGGGCTCCATGGCATTGTATTTTTTTTTTTTGGCTGAGCCATCCTGCCACATGTTGGCAGCTGTTAGCAGCTCAGCACGGGCTGGGAATCGAACTGGAGACCCTGTTGCTCAGAGCTCACATTCTTGAGCAAGCTCTTAACCAACTGAGCCCCTCGGCCGGCCTTGTAGTGCATGCTCTTAAATAATAAAAATGGATTTAGCCAAAGAGAGTAGAGATCGGTAAAACGGCACATCAGTGATGGATCTGCTCCAGAGTACAGAGTACTCTATTTCCAGACAAATTGAACCACAGGTCTTTCTCTAAGTCTATGTAATCTACGTATACATGATGTTACACAAAAGATCATCTTTAAATAAGACATCCAGGTAGCAGGACAGAGCAGTCCTTTTGCTCTGAGAATGAAATGTTTTGTTCAAGTTTAGGGTCAAACATAGATAATATTTAAAATAGTGATCTGAGGCTGAGGCTGGGGAAGGAGAATGATTACAGTTGACTCTTGAATGACATGGAGGTGAGGGGCGCTATCCCTTTGCATAGTAAAAAATCCACGCATAACTTTTTTTTTTTTTTTTAAAATTTTTTTTGGGTAATTGGGGGGATGGGAACAGTGATGGGGAATTGGGGGAAGGGGAACAGACAAGTTGCTGTCGTTTTGTTCTTCAATCTAGTTGTGGAGGACGCTGCTTCACTGGCCCAAGTTGGCACCATCATTGCGCTCTTCCCTGGCGAGGCAGATCAGTCGCCGGCTTCTGGACGGCCGCTCACTGCGGCTGCTGGCCGCTCACGCTGGCTGCTGGCCGCTCATGCTGGCTGCTGGCTGCTGGCTACATACGGTAGCCCATGGCAACCCACTGCCACAGGGACTGCAGCCTACACCGTCGCCAGTGACTCACGGCAGCCCAGCTCCAGGTTGAGCTGTTGTTCAGCATCTTAGCTGTGGAGGGCAGTGTCACTGGCCCTCATATGTGGGATCCGAACCGGGGCCCTCTGGCATCCCAAGCGAGTTCTTAACCATCGCGCCACTCGGCCGGCCCCACGCATAACTTTTGACTCTCCAAACACTTAACTACTAATAGCCTACTATTGACTGGAAGCCATACCAATAACATAACAGCCGATTAACACATATTGTGTATCTTATATGCATTATATACTGTATTCTTACAATAAAGTCAGCTGGAGAAAAAAAGTGTTAAGAAAATCAAATAGAAGAGAAAATTCATTTATAGTATTGTACTGTATTTATTGGTACCATAAGTTTACATTGTTTACAAGATGAATCATCTGTCAGTACCTACATTAATATTGTCTTATATGGTAGAAAGCATTGTGGATGTTATACAATATATATTACTAACACAAGACATCAAATATGAAAATATAAAGTGAAAAATAAATTCATATTTATTTACAGGCATAATGACTCATATTGACAACAAAGAAACAGCAATATGAATGCTTTATGGTAGTGTAGTGTAATCAGTAAAATTGCTTCATGGTCACCTAGGCTATACACTAAAAAATGAATCACTATAAAATTTTATGGCATACAGTATTACAATCATACTCATAATACAGTATTGGAAACATTGTTACTTAAAAAAAACCCACTTACCTGTGATGATAGTCTGATACACAGTTTCTCCAATTATGAGAAAGGTATATTGTACAGTAATGTAACTCTGTTATAAAACAGTAAGAAAACTAACACATTCTTAATGTTATGTTAAATATCACACACTTTATGCCTATGTAAGGATATGCTATCTACTTCCACACAAGCCTTGCATATGATGAATACTTAGTCGATGATAATGATGACACAACAAGCCTTATACAGTTCTTGCATGAAGACACTCACACACATACTTATACACAGATAAGTTTATTAACTGTACAGCATGATGATTATTTACTATTCACTGAGTGGACGTGGATCATCATAAAGGTCTTCATCCTTGTTGTTTTCACACTGAGTAGGCTGGGGAAGAGGAGGATGAGGGAGGGTGGGTCCTGTCATCTCAGCATCAGCAGAGGTGAAACAGGAGGTGGAGGAGGAGGAAGGGGAGGCAACAGAGGCAGGCACATTTAATGTAACTGTATGGAAATCCTTCATTATTTGTGTCTGGCTTTTTTGCTTTTTCATTTTTCTAAAAAATGTTTCTATACAGTCGGGATCCTTCTTCCACTATTTGCTTTAGTTTCAGGGCCTGTATCATAAAAGGGTCCATCATGTAAAAGAAGTCAAAAACAGTCTTAAATAATCAGCACCCTTGCCAGATTGCCTCCAGTCAATTTGTTTACTGGCACTGCTTCTCCGCTTTCTTCCTCATCATCTGGCACTGTTCAGAAGCACTCATCTCCATCACATTGTCTTCTGTTAGTTATTCTGGTGTAGTATTTATGAGATCTTGAATTTCTCTAAGATCCATGGCTTGAAACCCTTCATTACCATCACCACCTTTTTTGACAATATCCACAACCTCTTTCAAGGTTTCCTTGATTGGCTCTGTCATATTTTATGGTAGTAAGTAAGAAAATAGACTAGTATCTACATATACTTTTTGCATTCATGACATATCTAAATTTTCTTAATTTTTTTCAATATTCTAGGCTGCATGGTTCATCTGCGAGTTTTTTTCAAATTGTCGCAATCTCCAAAAAAATTTCCAATGTATGCATTTATTGAAGAAAAAAAAACCCACATATAAGTGGACCTCCACAGTTCAAATCCATGTTGTTCAAGAGTCAAATGTATACATAAACTATTATAAAACATGCACATGTGCTGGGCAGAGGACATGAAGAGACATTTTTCTAAAGAGGACATACAGATGGCCAACAGACATATGAAAAAATGTTCAACCTCACTAATCATTAGAGAAATGCAAATAAAAACCACAATGAGATACCACCTCAATCCTGACAGAATAGCTGTCATCAATAAACAAAGAACAAATGCTGATGAGGTTGTGGATAAAAGGGAACCCTGGTGCACTGTTGGTGGATTGCAGATTGGTGCAGCCACTATGGAAAGCAGTATAGAGGTATCTCAAAAAACTGGAAATGGAACTGCCTTATGATCCAGAAATTCCACTCTTAGGGATCTATCCAGAAAAATCCAACATGCTGATTTGAAAAAATTTATACACCCCTATGTTTATTACAGCTTTATTCATAATAGCCAAGATACGGAAACTGAAATGCCCATTGGTAGACGACTGGCTTAAGAAATTGTGGTACATTTATACACTGGAGCATTACTCAGCTATAAAGAAGAATGAAATCTTACCTGTTGCAATGATATAGATGGATCTAGAGAACATTATGCTAAGTGAAAAAATTCAAACACAGAAAGACAAATACCATATGATCTCACTTATATGTGGAATCTAAAGAACAGAATAAATGAACAAATGAATCTGAAACAGTCTCAGAGATATAGAGAAAAAACTGAGGGTTGCTAGATGGGAGGGGGGTGGGGATGAGGAAGAAGGTTGAGGGGATTAGAAAGCACAAATTTGCAACCACAAGATTGCCATGGGATTACAAAAGACAGTTTGGGGAATATGATCAATAATGTTGTAAAGGTTTTGTAGGATATCCAATGGACACTTACTTGTCTTATTTAGGGAGACCATTTCACGGACAGTGTAGATGCCTGACCACTGCACTGTACACCTGAAGCTGAAGCTGAATAATAATGAATGTCAACTACAATTTAATATATAAATATATATATATATATATATATAGTCACAGGATGTGGAGTACAGCATAGGGAATAGAGTCAGTGGAATTGTAACAGCTATGTATGATTTCAGACAGTAGTAGATTAGGGGACAGGGATTATCACTTTGTGAGGGGTGTAAATGTCTAACTATTACAGTGTTTTATATACCTGAAACTAATAATAAAAAAATGCACACATGTGTGCAAACGGATTGACAGATGCATCGATTTAACATAAAGAGATCAATGGTATGTAGATCAAACCCATTTTATTTCTTTGTGGTTTTCCAGTCACTAATATACAATTAAAATCAAGCCAGATCATCAGTTACGTTTAACTTTAAAACATCACAGAATTTATCCCAAAGCTCTCATTTATCAATATAATTTTAAAGTAGTAGTAAAAAATTACTAGAAGATATTAATAGGCTTATATCTAAGTCACATAATCACATTAAGTTAATTAGAGAGAATATATTTCAACTTCAGGATATGATAACCATTTATTTTAGCCTTAGTAGACTTTTTACAAACTATGACATTGAAGAAAAATATGTTCAGAATGTAATATTTGTGTAAGCTTCACAGAGTAAAAATTGTTTTTCAGTTACATATAAAATCTTTGCATTTTTTCAATCAATCTGCAAACTAGCTGAGACATAAGCATTATTACTCAACTATATAAGGAAACTAGACTTGGAAATATTAAATAATTTATCCAAGGGTGCTTATGAGAGAACATGGCAGTTTTGATCACAACTCTGACTCCAAAGTGCATTCTCTTTCTAATTGATCATATATGTATTTCTGACAAAAAAACATGAGAATCATAATACAACTTGAAAAATATTTTAAGAGGTTTGGATACTTTGTTTTTAGACGTTTGTAAGTTTTTCATGAAAGGTTTCATTCAGTTGTTCAAAAGCTAAGACCACATTGTCTTCTTCATTATCACATAGTTCACGCAAGGAAACACTGTAAATGAAAACAAATGTATATGAAGCACCCATTTTGGAAGAGGCAGTATTATAAGAGGGACTTGCCCTAGGAAGGCAGAATTAAGTAAACCTCACTATGAGCTCAACATTTTTCAAGTTACCACTAAATTATTGAAAGTTTGAAATTAGTATTTGAAATATATAACACACCTGATAGATTGAATGGTGAGTGAAAAATCTTTCAACAACTGGTAAGCCTCTCCTTCATTCATCCTAAACAAAATAACATTTGAAAATTTAATGGTCTAGAAACATTTAAGAACTTCTCATATCATGTTGAAATGTTAGATCTGTGAATCATAGGTTACTTTTGTCTGTCAAGATGTATTTACCAGAATCATTTTGCCACAGATTCCCAGATGATGATTTAACCTGTGGGAATGGTGATCATGAATTCAAGAGTCACAAATATCACAAACACAGATAATAAATACAGGAGGCTGACCATCTCAAGAGAAAACCAAAGTAGAAAAGTAAAGCTCAACAGAGTGAAAGGAAGTTCAAGTATCAAAAGGGAAGAAATAAATGAATTACTTACTAATATCACAACAATGAGTCATATTTTTTAAAACTGATCAATATTTCTCAAGAGTGTCAGAGTTTTAACTACTTCAATTTAATATAGACTTATTAAAAAAAAGAAAAAAATACCATCTATAAAAAGGCATAATAAAAACTACTATTTATTTTTAGATATAACTTAAATATAAATATTATTACATTATTCTTATATGAAAAAAATGCACACTGAATTCCTGATTGGTGTGACAGAACGCCCCTCTCTACATCTAGGTGCTCAGTGCCTGGGCCAATTTCTCCATTCTAGGTAAATCCACAAGGGCTTACTCCTGCTTACTATTTTTTTTTTTTTTTTTTTAAGCTGAGCCATCCTGCTACCTGTTGGCAGCTCAGCGGCTGCTCAGCTCGGGCCGGCAATCGAACCGCTGTTGCTCAGAGCTCAAACCCTTGAGCAAGCTCTTAACCAACTGAGCCACTCGGCCGGCCCTCCTGCTTACTATTTTTGAAAATGGTTTTCCTGCCAAAGAACTAAAACAATTGTCATGTTTTAATGTTTGAATTACATACTTTTTATATAGTTCTCTCAGATAATGAAGAGCATGACAATATTTGGTATTATTATTCAGTTTTAAAATGTTTAATAAGGAATATATAGGATATTGATACATAAAAATATATCTGTGAGTATATGAAAATATTTATATCTGTAGAGTAAATCTTTATGTCAAAGGCGTCAGCCTAAGTCCCAAGATTTTGCTACTAAACCGCAAAGTAACAAACTCTTGCCATTAGTCTCTAAGAAAAAAATTCCAGTGTCTTTAGCATAATTAACCTATACTTGAAATTGTAAACAAACAAACAAAAAAAAGTATTTTGCCTAATATTCATTAAGTTCCTCCATTCAATATATAAAGATGCAGGTAGAGATCAACATAGAGAAGGAGATGGAAATGGTAATAGGTGTAGAAATAGAGATAAAAGAGATAGACATGGACATGGATGTGGACATGGAGATAAAGGTATAGATAGATGGAAATAGATAAAACATACCTGTTGTCCTGGACTAATCCTATCAAGGAACCATGTTTATAAAAATCAAGTGCATAAGCATTAAGTGGCATTCTTCTTCCTTGGCTATCAAATGCCTGAGGCAACAGCACAGGAGTCTGAGAGTGACGGATACCAATTGTGCGCAGAATGATCTAAGGAAATACGACTCTTCTTAATTTCTTATTTATGCATAAAAAGTTTATAATTTATTACATTGTGCTTTGTAGTTACTTCCTTAATCAACATTTTTAAAGCACACTCTTTGTGGTGAATGAAGAGGGTGCTTTTCATACACACTGGGGTGGTGCCATCTGAAGCCAGCCTAGAGAATGACTTGGCCCTACCTGTGAACAATATTGCTTCACAGCATACTGATGGCAATTTCAACCATCCAGCCTAGACTGTAGCAAGAATCACTAGGAAAGAAAAGCTAATTTAAAATTTTATTACTAGCCTACTTGGTGCAGGTAATATCTTCATAAACAGAGTATCAGGGAGCCAGTGCCTTATGTCTCATGAGAAGAGTTCAACTGAACAACTCTAACAATCTTTATAATCCAATTACCAGAATAAAAAGGAAGGAGATGAAGAAAGGGAAAGAAAAGAAGGAAAATGAAAAAAAGAATAAAGCAAATCAATAGTTTTCCATGCCTGCTCTTTTTTTGAAATCTACACAGGGCCAGTAGGAACTCTGGTACACAACATTCTAAAATGACTAGTTAGTAGCTTGAAAAGTTATTATTAAAATTTCTTGAAATATTTTTATTCCAGTATGATCCAGAAAAAATTTTTGACCCTGAAAATCCAGAAAATTTATACTTGAAGGAAACTGTTGCACAGGTGTACTAGGTGTCTATAGCAACCCTGTCTGTAATAGCAAAGACTAGAAACAAACACAAAAACTTATTAGCAAAACAGATCAACGGGTTGTCTTACTTTCACATTATGAAATACTATGAAATACTAAAAATAAAAAATAGAACTTCATGTCACAATATGAATGAATGTTACATGCATAAAGTTGCATGCAAAAAACCCACAATTTTTTCAGGAGACTACAGTAAGTATTCCTTCATTTTTTATAAAATTCAAAAGCAGCAAAAATGAAATGTGATTTTGGAATATGACATTTTCTTTTGAGGAGAATTAACAACACAAAGTTTAGGACAGTTGATATCCTGAGGAAAGAGGAGAGACAAGTGAATGAAACAGAGGAACACACAGGTATTCATTACAGTTTTATGTCTTATAACCTAGCTATATGCCATTTAAAGATATGTATGTATGTGTATTTAATACGACACTAAAATGTAACAAATAATACAAGCAAAACAAGTTTTAGGGGATTATAATTTACACTAGTAAAGTTGTACAAAGTGAGCTGGGTATGACAAATGGCATGTTACTCTCAAGCAATACTCTGGAAATATTCACCAGTGCAAGATGCTTCAAAACAGATGAAATAGACCCTTCTCTCTGGCACACCATCAGGAACAATTATGTGTCTGAGTCAGTCCATGCCCTGTACATTAAAGGTCACTGCTAATTTCTGGTGTCTGTATGGCAATAAGACTGACGTTATATTCTAGTATAACTGTTATCAGTGTCCTTCCAAAACCCCATGGAAAACCTTGCATATGGAAAGGAAATAAAGTGAATGGCACATACTGTCCATAAGTTAGATTGTACAATAGAGGGAAGGGAATATTATAATACCTAACAATGAATACGTCTTTTTTTAATGTGGCTAGCTACAAAGTTCTTATATAAGTAATTAACTGTGATCATACAAACGAAATACAGGAGAGAACCTTCATAAATTCATTGCTCTTATAAGTTAAGTGCACTCCTTTATTATTTCTATGTCAGATTTCCCCATTTTCCAAGAGCAGTTTATTATAAGACATCACTCAGATGGATGTGTCCATTTAAAATGCACAAAGGTCTATATACATAGTTTTTCGAAATTCTTTTAAGTGGCACTGGGCTATTTTATATAAGAGGACTCTCTGATTTTGGAATCAAATGGCGTTGAGACATCAGTGTCAATCCATAATATCAAATGTAACATTTTCTCAAATTTTGTATGGATATAAATTAAACTTCTATAAGTCGATTCCAACATTCAAATGGATGATTCAACATATTCCAAATGTGTCAAGTTCTTTGTCCTCTACGAGGGATTTCCAGTACCTATGGTAATACCGGGAAAGCTTGAAGATATTGGGTTGTCAGAAAAGTCATGACGTATTTTTTCTGTTTTCGTTGCAAAAATGCATAATGACTTTTCCGACAACCCAATCAATAGCTTTATGTGCTCTTTTCACAGCAAGCCTTTGTCAATCACCCCTAAAGTCTTTAAAGACGAAAGAAAAACAGTAATCTTGGAAGTTTGCTATAATGGAGAAGAGTCTCTCAGATTAATACTGAGAAACTGAAACGATACTGGCTCTAAGACACCATCCCTGGATATTTCTGTTCATTAACCTGTATTTTGTTTTTCAGTTTGGGAAAACTGAAGTCCTTTCTAAGCTGCCCGAAAATATAAATACAATTTTTTTCTTAAAGACGTCTTATATATTAATCCCATTTTCCACTTACATGGTTTGGAGTTTGTGATTGAAGCAAATCGCTGTCACAGTTGCCAGAGAGACAAGCAAATGGAGAAACAGCTACTCTTCCTTTCTTGCAGCTCATCAAGTGAGACACAAGTTGGGAGTCTTCACATTCTTTACCTGTGAAATCTGGCCATAATAGGTTGGAGTAGATTCATTTTGAAATATTAGCCAAGTTATCTAGCCTTACACACCTGCTCTAGACCATGCTACAAGGTGGGGCCATTCAGCTTCCCAGGACATAGGTCATAATGAAGACTGAGTAAGATATATCACATAAAGTGAATAGCGAATCTTGGCACAGAATATATTAAATAAATGTTTGCTATTCATTTTACTATCAGTATTATACACTTGTGTTTTATATTTTAGTTGCTTTGATCAACAGGTAATAAAAGACTAAAGTTAAATTGTACATTCTTTTAACACAGAATTATTGTTATTACCTTGGTACTTTTTTCCCACTAAACTCAGAATCTTTCTAGACAGGCTGTTACAAGTAGACACTATCAGCAGGTTTGGAAATAGCATATGAAAAGGAATATCTTTTCAGTTGCTATTCTTATAAAGCACCAGATCATGCATTCAGACTTGGCTTTAATTTGTAATGGAGGCAGGATGTTCACACACTCCAATTTTGCCTCCTCTGGGATGCTCACAGTTATTGTCTGCTTTTTATCCATGTTGCTTTCCACTTTAGTTGGGCTCAGGAAGCTACAAGCTCTATCTCCTTGACTGTTTTCAATTGAGGACGTTAGGATATAATGAAACCAGGAAATTACTACCCACAGCTCAACCCTTTCCCTTTATCCCAGTCGCCTCTTCCTGTGTACTTTTCCCCTAGAAGAGTTCCATCCAGTAGCTTATGAAAAACAAGAGCAAAGTTATAATAGTGTATGCTTATGTGCTAGGCACTATTTTATGATATTCACTTAATTATTTAACTCATTTATTTGAAGTTCACATAAACTAGTTAGATAATTTTATATTCTTTCTCATATATCTATAGAGGAAGTTGAGGCATAAATGTAGTCACTTATCCAAGATTTCATTGTTAATAAGTACCAGAGCCATAGTTTGGACCTAGGTATCTGCCAAGAGTTAATGTGCATGAATACTGTGCAAATTTCCTCTCAAGGAAAAAAATGACAGAATAATCTCTAGTTTTTCTTCATCTCATAGATGTCCTTACTCCATTTTCCAGTCCTGACCCAAAGACGGTTTATAAATGACTCTATTTAGTTTCATTGCCCTTTTAACTTCTAAGAATCACTGTCTTCCTTTGGAAATCAGAAGGAATCCCCTACTAAGGCAGACATATTTTCAGGGCTCTGTTCTTCTTCTGGGAGAAAATGCTCTTAGGCAAGATGATTTATTCTTTAAATTGTTCCACAATGAAGATAAAATATACTTACTTATGTTTGACAGTGGGAGTTGATATTCCTGTTTCATATCAGCCAATTTGGAAACAATTAGTAAGAAAAAGGCAAAGTCCTTTGTAGCCTGCATGTTATACTCATGTAAAGCATCATTAAAATCCTTAGGGAGATCCTCAAGGAACACCTAAATTATAAAGGAGATCATCAAGATAACCTAGTGGCCACATATTTTTTCAGAGAGATCTCTATACTTTCTTTGAAAATAGTAACTTTGGAAGAAGAGCAAAGAACACTGCAATATAATTAGATAGTTATCTATTTATTCAATAATGTAACTGTTTCATTCATTCATCTTTGAAATTAAGGTACAATTCATTTTTGTTTCTATTTGCATTTATCAAAATCAATAGCTTTAATCTTAAAAATGTGCTTTCACACTACTTAATCAAAACTGTCTTTTAAATAGAAGCATGCCCTCAGATCACATTTAGCTTATGCATAGTTAAAAAAAACTAGTGCTATGTTTGGAGAACAAGCAACAATATAAAATACATTTGCATGCCTGGAATAAACCTCCCTTGACTGTGAGGATTTTTAAATCCTCATAGATTCATTGTGCTAATATTTTGTTAATTATTCTACCACATTATAATTATTTTTAGATACACTAGATAATCATTTTTTATCTACCCATGCATTATCTTTTCCAGTGTACTTCACGCTCTTCTGTATTTCCATGTTCTCCAAATTTAGATTTTTTCTGTCTGCCTAAAAAATGTATTTCTTTTAGCATAGACCTTTTTAGCATGTCTGTGTGTGCATACACACACACACACACACACACACACACACTCACCAATAAAACCTGCCAGAATAAACAAAATCAGCAAAGTTGCAGAATACCATATCGACATTAAAATATCAGTTGTTTCTGTATACTAAGTGTCTGAAAAGGAAATTAAGGCAATCTCATTTACAATAGCATCAACAAGAATAAACAACCAGGTGAAAGATTTTTACACTGAAAAGTATGAAACACTGATGAAAGAAATTATAGCAGACACAATAATAGAAAGGCATGCACGCCATGTTCATGGATAAGAATTAATACTTTAAGACATCAATACTTCCCAAAGTTATCTGCAGATTCAATGCAATTCTTATAAAAATCTCAATGGCATTATTTTTTACAAATATAGAAAAATAACCCTAAAATGTATATGGAACCACAAAAGATCCTGAATAAACAAATTAACCTTGAGAAAAAAGAACAAAGCTGGAGGCATCACACTTCCTGATTTTAGAATATTTTACAAAGCTATAGTAATTGAAACAGTATACTACCAGCATAATGACTGACGTATAGATCAATTGAACAGGATAAAGCATCCAGAAGTTAATCCAGGTATATATGGTCAGCACATCTTTGACAAGGATGCAAAAATACATAATGGGGAAGAACAGTCTCTTCAACAAATGGTGTTGGCAAAATGGGATATACACGTATATAAGAATGAAAGTGGATTCTTACTATACACTACCTAAAAATAAACTTAAAATGGATTAAAGATTTAAATGTAAGAACTGAAACTGTAAAACTCATAGAAGAAAATATAGAGACATTGGTTTGGCACTGATTTTTTTTTTATATGACACCAAAAGTGCAGGCAACAAAAATGAAAATAGATAAGTGGGACTATATCAAACTAAAAAGCTCTGTACAGCCAAGGGAATAATCAACAATATGTAAAGGTATTTCCAGAATAGAAGAAAATATTTCTAAACCATCTACGTGATAAGGGGATATAGCCAAAATATATAAGAATCTCCTACAACTCAACAGCAAAAATAAATAATTTTTTTAAAATGGGCAAAGGATTTGAATAGACATTGTTTCAAAGAAGGCATACACATGGCCAACGTGTATATTAAAGTTCTCAACTTTACTAATCATGAGGGAAATGCAGGTCAAAACCACACAGAGATTTCACCTCATACCTGTTAGGACGGATATTACAAAAAAAAAAAAACCAAACAAACAAAAACATAAGTGTTGAGAGGGATGTAGAAAAATTAGAGCCCTTATACACTGTTGGTGGTAACGTAAATTGGTGCAGCCTCTATGGGAAACATAAGGAGGTTTCTTCAAAAAATTAAAAATAAAACTACCATGTGTCTATGAGTTTTCGTTTCTTCATTTGTTTGTCTTGTTCCTTTGTTGTTTTCAGTTTTATATCCCACATATCAGTGAAGTCATATGGTTCTTGACTTTTTCTGTCTGGTTTATTTCGCTTAGCACAATAATCTCAAGATCCATCCATGTTGTTGCAAACGGCATTATTTCATCTTTTCTTATGGCACAGTAGCATCCCATTGTGTATATACACCACATCTCCTTTATCCAATCATCTATACAAGGACCCTTTGATTGTTTCCATGTCTTGGCCACTCACAGACACAGACAATAGTTTAGCAGAGGGTAAAGGAGGAGGGGGGTGGTAGATGAGGGTAAAGGGAGTCAAATATATGGTGATGGAAGGAGAACTGACTCCGGGTGGTGAACACAGAACGTGATATATACAATAGATGATGTATTATGGAATTGTAGAATTGAAACCTATGTAACTTTACTAACAATTGTCACCCCAAAATACTTTAATTTAAAAAAAATAGAACTACCATATGATTGAACAATCCCACTTCTAGGTATAAATCCAAAGGAAGTGAAATCAGGATCTTGAATAGACGTCTGCACTGCTATGTTCACTGCAACATTGCTCACAAATGGCAAAATATGGAAACAACCCAAATGTCTATCAACAGATGAATGGATAAGATTATGTGGCACACACACACACACACACACACACACACACACACACACAGGAATATCAGTCAGTCTTTTAAACAAGGAAATCTTGCTATTTGCAACAACATGGAAGAACCTAGAGGACACTGTGCTAAATAATATTAGGCAGTCACAGAAGGACACATATTGCATGATTCCACTTACCTAAAATAGTCAAACTCAATGAAGTAAAGAGAAAGGTGGTTGCCAGGGGATGGGTGTAAAAGGAAATGGGAAATTGTTTTTCATTGGATATAAAGTTTCTATTATGCAAAATAAATAAGTTCTAGATACCCGCTGTAGAATATAGTGCCTATAATTAACAATAAAGTATTGTAAACTTTAACATACATTAAGAGGATAAATATATTGCTAAGTGTTCCTACCAAAAAAATAAGACACAAGGAAACTTTTGGAGGTGACAAGTATGTTTAGTACACTGGTTATGGTGATGATATCATGGATGTATTCATATTTTCAAACTCATTAAGATTATACATTAAATGTGTACAATTTTGTGTATATCAATTATACCTAAATAAAGCTAAAAAAAAATAAGGTAGACATATGCATAGCCTCTTGATATTTTATTAAACCAATTACAATATATTTACTCTGTTTTAAATTATGTTTAACGTATATGCTATGCATATGTATACATTTATAATCAAAATTAAACAGAGCAGAGTGAAAATATTCCCCGCCCTTGTTTTTGTAGCTTCCATTATTTTTGTTAACAAGTCAGCTATCAATTTCATTACCTTTTTCAAGGAAATGTCTGTTTCAGTTTTAGCTGATTTTTTATTTCATTTTTGTTTTTTATTCCCACTAAATTGTATATATACATATATATATATNTGTGTGTGTGTGTGTGTGTATATATATATATATATATATATATATATATATATATATATTTATCCTTCTTGAAGTTGACTACGCTTTTGAAACTATGGAGTGCTAGCTTTCGTCAGCTTCAGAAAATTCCCAGCTATTAGTTCTGAATACTCTTCTGCCATTTTCCTCCCTCTTCTGGTATTCCTCCTACATAACATGAAACATTAAATCCACATGTCTCTTATGCTATCTCCTTCTAAATATTTTCACTTTTTTCTCCCTGTTTGGACACTTTTTATTCACTGATCAGTCAATTCACTGATTCTGACTTCTGGCATATACTATATTCTGATCAGATATTATATTTTTCAATTCTGGAATGTTAATTATCCAGTGAAATTATCCATCTTTTCATCACTTTTGTCTCTCTCTTCCCCTGTTTTCTTGAACGTATTAGTTATACTTAAAGTCCTTTATCTTAACTCCAATATCTAGATCATCTGTGTAACTACTACTGCCGTTTTTCTTCCTACTAAATTTATCATATATTCTTGCTTACTCACTTTTTTTTTAATTTGGGGGAAGGGGTGTTTTTTTTTTGTTTTGTGCACCAGAAAATGCTTATAAAAGGGCCTTATAGGCTTTAAATGATTATTTTATTATTAAGTGGTTAGTATTTTCCATCCAAATGAGTTCCCCCATTTTTGTGTTTAGTCAAGTGAGTGAAGATGTGATCACCTCAATCCAAGTATAGACCAAGTGGGTTGGTCCTGTTTTCTGGTTTTGATAAGTCTCAGTCTATATCTGATTTTATGTATTTTGTTTTGTTTTGTTCTATCTCATAGGAGAGGCTCTCTGCATATGCTCACTACAATTTTCAACCCATGTCCAGAACAGACATTTTTGGGGAGAAAAACCATGGTTGGAGATTCCTATCACACCTTGGATAAGTTCTTGCCATTTTATCATTTTAGCCAATCTAATCCTCATTACTTCCACAGCTCTCTGTTGCAATAGGAGTGATGGCCACCTATAATATCCTATCTGAAAATGCACAATAATCTTTAAGAAAAAGAGAGGGAGGGAGGGAGAGACGGAGGGACACAAGAGGCCTCTACTCGTAACCTTTTGTTGTATTTTTTATGATGACCTTCTTTGTAAGAACAAAGATATTGGCTTTTCTTTTATAAGTTAAATATAAATTTATTTAGACAAAAAATTAAATAATAGTTCAAGAATGTACATGTGATTTAAAAAAGTGAAGATGATAAATCAGTGACTAAAGTTGTTTTCACTGGTCTAGAGAACATTCTCTGAGGGCAAAGGTTTGTAACTTGACATTGTGGGGTTCGACAATATAGATTAACCCTTCTCTTTTTGATCCTTGTCACTTTTTACTAAGGCTATTTGGTATAACCAGCCTATCCCACTTTTTCAGATTAGTGGATTACATTAATAATCGTATTTGATGTTGATTTAATGATAGGGAATCATGATCAAAGAAAATGTTGCAAATAAAATTGTAAAACAGTTTTCCTGCTTTTAGTCTATGTGATGATTTCTTAGATTTCTATTCTAATATTTTTTTCAGTAAGGACATATAGTTCACAATAGTTCCTATTCATAGACCTACCTCAAAGTTAAAAGATCCTAAGAAACTAGATTCAGTGATGGAACTATTAGTTCATTTAATGTACAGCTATTTACATTTTTTTTCTTTAAACATGAATACTGCAATTTGATACAACCAAATAGAAAACATGAGCAAAATTTTTTATCTTATTTTTTTCCTCAAGGCATTTAATCTTTTGATAGATTTATAGGGGGAGACTTATGAATTACAGATTAAATATAACAATAATTACAGAAAGAACAAATTATTATTATATAAAACAAATGAACCCTAGATTAATAAAATTCTACTGTTGCTAAATCATTTATGGTAAAATTTATCTTAAATATTTAATGTTATCAGAATCATACATTTTACCTTTGATTGATTAAACTTGATATCAGCATCTCTGAACTTTGCTGGAAGATATCTTCTTCCAAACAGGTTTGCCAATACTAATACTAGCTTTTCCATAACATCGTCAGAAAAATGTTTTGAGCCTACACAAACCAAAGTGTCTTGTTATAAATGTGAAAAAAGTATGTTAATCTAATTTTTAATATTTAAATTGAATGTTACACTGCATTGCATTTCATGGAAACAAAAACTTTTTGACAAATATAGCAATGAAGGAACGACTATTCTCGGTGACAGTTTCATATCTGAGCCTTCTTTCTCATTCTTACTACTCCTACTTTAGCTCAGACCCTAGTTGTTCTAAACACAAATTGCCTTATCTCTGTACCTGGATTTTCCTCTCTTCTGTCTATGATCAGTTTTACCTAAAGCATTTTATGGTCACATCTCTCACCTACTCAAAAATCCCTGATTGCATCTCAATATCTCATAAACAAAATCCAATCACCTTTGCCTAACATTTAAGGCTCTCCAAAATTCAGCCCACAAATAACCTCCCAGCTTTCTCCCTTCCTTACCCTCCTGTCACTCAGGTTAAGATAGGGTCAAATTGACTTTCTCTTTATGCATCACAACACATGAGGACTCTACTGGAATGGTTTAAAAGGTGCTACATTTAAAAACTTGGGCTCTAGAGTCATACTACTTATATTTGAATCTTTGCTCTGACACTTACTGAAATTTTGTGACCATGCTAATTCATTTAATGTCTCTGTGCCGCAGTTTTCGCAATTAAAAAATAGTGATAGCCATATTATCTGCCTCAAAGTTATCAAATTTTCTATCTCCATGTTTGTAACTGCATACACCGCCCTCTCCACATACACACCCAGCAATAACACAAACTATACATCCTGTTGCCTGAAATTATTTCTCCTCTTACAGAGCTTTTGGGTGGACAGAATTTCCCAAGTACCCTTGTTTCACAGAGCAATGCATACTCAGAGCACAGTGACTAGAACTATTGTGCAAAATAGAGTGTTTCTATCAGTTAATGATAGAAGATAATGTTGTAAAAGGCACATTTTAAATTGTGGTAAATGGAGCATTTCATGGGCATCGCAAATGGAATTCATAAAAACATTACATGATATTAGCAAAAACATACTTAGGGGAAAACAAGATTCTTGCTTACGCAATAAATATATTATCAACTATCTAAATACAGTATACAATTAAATTCAAATAAAAAAGAACGGGAGCAAATATTCACAAATATTAATAGTAAATATTATTTTTAACATAATGTTTTCCTATATCCTTTGTCTATGATGAGCATATACTAAATTTAATTAAAACAAAATATTTATTTAAAAATTATATATTATTTAAAATGTTCTGAATCCTGGAGCCAAGGAATCACCAAAGTTAATAAGAAGTTGACATTTTAAAATAGGTGTCATAAAATATAGCTGTCTCCCATATAATCTATATTAGTAGGTATATAAAAGTTTATTTTTTCTAATTTGGTATTTCTAAATTATCTGAATATTACCTTGTATTCTCGTTGTAGAAAAAATATTCCTGAAGTGCTTAGCATCTGTTGCTAATTTTAGACTACACACAGGGAACATCAAGCTTACCTTTCTGAGTTGGCTGACAGAGATTATGGAAGAGGCCTCTTACAAGAAAACTGACAAAAACAAGATTAGAAGGCTCATGATAATGCAAATGTGATACAAGTCCAGCAAACCCCATCGGATTACCTTCTTGACTTATATAGCCCTACAGAACAAAAATAATTCATTAGTTTCACTCAACTCATCACACACATTAATCAATAGGTAACTTATTAATAGCCAGTTTAAAATAGTACTTAATGCCAATAAAAGAGATTGACAATCATTACCTGGCCCAATTTTGATAATTACATCAATTATAATTAATGTTAATCATTGGCTATAACCATCTAAACGCTACAATTAGTTCAGCATAAGAAACAAAGATAGTACCAACCCTATTTCACAAAAAGACAAAGTACAATCATACCTCTTTCACCAGGAACTGCAAAGAAAACAGGAAGTAAAGTTTTAGCATCTCCAAGGTTCTGGGCTGTTTGAAGGACAGCAATGAATGCTTGAGCACTGACAGCACCTTTAAAGAAGAATACTTTAATTTATACCATGTTCGTTCATGCTACGAAATACATTTGCAAATGATAATTTTGGTATACTGTAATTTATAAATTTTCCCTGTATATTATGATGTTTTGACATCTTAAAAAATAGCATTCTGGCTGGGGAGAGACGACTACTCAGGGCTAGCTAATATCGAAAGATAACAACTTGCCTGAAAGCATGTCTATCCTATGCAAACCAACCAATCCCAGTTTATACTGCTTCCTTACTCAACTCTCACAAACCAAGCCAATATTTCTCCTGCCCTAAATCACCCCAGGGGCAGGTACGAGGCAACTAGAGACCACTCATAGCCCAAAGCCCTCTGGAATTATTCAATCTAGCAAATCCTAAACTGTTTACTCTGCCCTTGTCTTGCCTTTCCTGTGGAAATTCCAAAAAGGCAGTGGCCTAAAGTTTCCCCTTGCTCCTGACTTCAGCCTGACCACCTTGATGTCTTTAGTGTGCAGCACTGCATGGCATACTGCCGTGCCTCCTGTCTCTATGACTCATGATTTTGTTTTTCTGAGCCTCTCCTCTGTCCCCTGTAATGGAATGACCATCATATAAAAGACTATAAATTAGGATAGATATTACTCATATCTATTACACCACACAGATACCAGCAATATATAACATTCAATTAGATGTCATGTTATTTGCTTGACCATGTTCTTACATGGCAGATCCTTCCTTTAACAAAACAGAACATATCAAACAGAACCATCAGAAATGAAAGATATTGCCAAATAATCTGGTAATAAATGTGAATCGAGTTTACAAGCTTCTAGTTCTTGGATTTTTCTGGAAGAAAATAAGATATATTATTTCATGTCCTAAAGTATTGTTGTAAAAATAATGGAACTAGGTTAATTAAAACCAAAGTAATAAAAATACTGCTTGATTTCTAGTGTAAAATAGAATTAAGGTAGCAGTTCAGACATCTTTTAACTGCTCACTATAATGTCTATGAGGTTCCAACAAAAGGCAAATTTCCCAAGATCACCAAAATGTAAGCCTTTAGGCATGAGAGTTTATAGGAAGAACCTCTGCTCACTGAAAGGCCAATGGACGTGGAAGGAAGGAAGGGAGGGGGCGGGCAAGGTGGAAAGGAAGAAAAGAAGGCGGGGAGGAAGGGGTGTGCTGTCCATCACCTTTACTTTGGGGCAATACTTTTTGAAGGTCCCAAAAATGCCCTTTTCTACAACCTCCTTTCTCTCTTGCTCTACATTTAGTTCACCGGTGGCAAAAGAAAGAAAACATCAGAGTAATATTAGAGTAAAATTTAATGACATAAAGGAGTGAGGCTATGCACACATCTGAGGGAAGATTTTAGAAGCAGAAGAAACAAAGTTATGGTTCTCAGACTGTAATGTGCCTGGAGAACACTGGCTTTTACTCTTAAAAAAAAAAAAAAAGTTGACCTATAAAAATTTTCTTTATGCAGCAAAACAATTTACTTGAAAATTATTTGGCATCCTCAATGGATTCCAAAAACTATGACCTCTATGAGACAAGACCCCATAGCATAAGGTAAATGGACAATATAAATTGACTTGTAAAAAATAATACATTATTATGATATGAAAGAGTAATATATGAAATAGTAGTAAAGAATTTTGGGAAAACGGAAAGTCCAGTAGCGAAATGAAAATCCACATCTGTATTACTAAAAAGCAGAACTGAAACTTTGGAGAGCTGCCATCAGCAATGTGGAAGATAAATATCATATGTTCTTTCACAATGAAGAAAAACATAGCAACGGAGAACAGAAAAAGGATTTGCGATTTAAAATTGTAACTTTTCCTGAAAAAGAACCTCAACAAAGTAAAACAGAAACAAATATCAAGGATCTAATTTAAGAAATATTCTCTTAGTTCCCAAAGTATCTGAGCATTACACGATTCAAATATACTTAACATTCCTGAATTGTGTACAGTTAAATATGTTTAAATAGTAAATTTTATGTTATGTGTATTCTACCACAATAAAAAAATATCTAAGCATGCAGATTGAAAGTTTTCATCATATAACAACTAAACCTTAAAAAAAAATAAAAGGACCCACAAAACAGAAAATTCTGGGGAAAAGATTCTGAAATATAGGGATTAAAAAGAAAGATTCAGGGCCGGCCGAGTGGCTCAGTTAGTTAAGAGCTCACTCAAGAGTGTGAGCTCTGAGCAACAGCGGTTCGAGTCCCAGCCAGAGCTGAGCAGCCACTGAGCTGCCAACAGGTGGCAGGATGGCTCAAAAAAAAAAAAAAAAAAAAAAAGATTCATATAATCACATAGACAAAAAAAAAAAAAATCAGATTAATTCCAAGAGAACAGGAATGAGCATATGAGCATGGTTCCTCTAGAGGAGACTCTAAAATAGAGTCTACTCCTCTATAATAATAAATGCGACAAGGCAATGAAGCTATCTTAGTTTGATATGATGAGCAAAGACAATGTTCTAACAATTGTATGCCCACACTTAAGAGTCTTTTATGCGTGGTTAGATAGATCTTCTCAAATATGCCAAGGCAAAAAATAAATAAACCACACTAATAACCTTTTTGGAAAAAAATTAAAATGTTGCTAGAAGATGTGTTCTTCTCTCCTATATAGAGGTAAAAATTAAGAACTCGATAGGAGGAAGTTTTGGTCTGAAATGCTACGTGCCAGCTCTGGAAGACCATCAACCAACTTAAGAGCCAACTCATCATGGAATCCCTGAAAGAATCCTCACCTCAGCAAACAGTATCTGATTTAACTGGGCATACTAATCGATATACAAAAAGAGAGAAGGGGGTCCCTTTCAGAATGCATCTTTGTCAGGATGAAAATCAAATTATTTAATTATGAAGTTTAAATCTCTCATTGTGGGATTGGATGTAAAATATTTATCTGAGAAAAAAACCTTCAGGAAAATTTATAACCATATTCTGAAGTCCAATTCAATATAAATATGTATCAGTGTTTAAAAAACAAATGCACGTCCTACCTAGAAAAATGACTTTAAAAAATACCAAAATGATAATGGGATTGACTTTGGATAGTAGAACTAGGTACAGGTGCTTTTCTCTTCTTTCAACTTTCTAAATTATCCAAATATTATCTGATAAACTTGGGTTACTTTTTATGAAAAATAAACTCTTAGATTACAAAATCATAAAAAAAGTATTTCTATTCCTAATGCTGGAAACAGGAAACTAATCCAGATCTTTTTAAATCCATAGCCAGCACCCTTAACTACTCTAGACAATATCTATAACTCATGAGAACCATAATCTTGGATAATTCAAAGGCCCATCCAGCCACAAACTCTATGACTGATAAAGGAGACAAACAAAATTAATTGTTATTCTCCTCCTCCACTCACCTCCAGTCCTCTACTATGTAAGACATTACAAAGGATTAAGGGCGAATGAAATTGAACGTTCTTGCTCAGGCTTCTAAAAGAACCGCAGAACTGAACCCAGCCAAGCCAGTAATGAACACTTAACCTTAGAAAAGGTCAAGCCCAGTACCTTGGCCTTGGCATCCTCTGGGTCATCACCCTTCGAAGCCAGCAGCATGAGTCGCAGGACCAGGGTTATGCTGAAGGGGAACTGTCCTCTCAGCTCAGGAACATTGGATTTTATGAGTTTTTCTATTTTGGGCAATGGAATGTTAAAGAAATATACATCTCCCAGGAGGTCTTGACCTCGTCTTCCAGCACGTCCAGACATCTGGAAACAAAATAGAAACACAGCATAAAACTTAACTAAATACTTTCTCTATCACATTTAGAATTGAGTCTTTATATTGGGTTGGAACAAATAAACTGAGCATATGACCAACCATTAAATAACTGAAACTAAAATCTAACTATGTAGCACTTTGGACATTTACCATGGCTGAGACAGAGCTGAAAATGAGATAAAATTTATCATTATTATCTACTTATTTTGTGCCAAAAATTGTGCTAGATATTTGTATAATATATATAAGAAAATAAAAAACAAAAAAAGACCTTATCCTGATTTCGAGTTCACTTACAGCTGAACTTATTACATGAATTCTTTCCCTTCCTGTATTTTGTGCCCTCATCCCTTTCTCTCTCACACACAAGTGTGTTAAGTTACAAATCACCAGGAAATTTGTGCACAGATTGAGGAAATATATGAGTAAGATAAAATTCAGAAACATTATTTGTAAAAAGCAAGTTAAGAACAAACTCTTTATAGAAGTTATATCAGTTCTGAGTTATTAAGTGCTTAGAATGTGCTAAGTCCTGTGTGTGTGTGTGTGTGTGTGTGTGTGTGTGTGTTCAATAAAACTTCATCTACAAAAACAGGTTGTGGGCCAAATTTGTCCCATGGACCACAGTTTGCTTATTCTTGCAATAAAGGGTGCAATAGATGGGATTGTTTTACTGTTAATGATTTTTATAGATTTGTCTTTCTATCTTTGTTATAGCTTTCTTTGCAGTTTTTATTCTTGTTATGACAATAATGATTTTTACTTTACCAGTCCTTAACAAAACACTAAAACAAATAGTTCTGCCCTCAAATGAGAAAGTTAGAAATGGCACAGGGCTGGCTTAAACCCAGTAAGAAAGAGTCGTGGAAGGTAATAATCACAAGTAACTAAAAAGTAAATGGCTTCTACAATGTGTCAAGCACTCTTTGAAATATTTTATACATATGAACATACTTAACTATTAAAACAGCATTATAAAGTTTTTTGTTTGTTTGCTTGGGGATTTTTTTTGTATCATTGACCCCCTTTGCAAATTGGAAGAATGAGGCATAAAAAGGTCAGGTGACCTCTCATGGTTGCGAAGTTTATAGGAAGCAGTGCAGTCAGGAGAGAAAACGCTAAGTCCTTTAAACATTTTTTTTTATACAGACCTCACAACAACTATATGAGGTAAATCTAATCATTATCCCCATTTTACAAAGTAGAAACTGGAACATGAGGAATATAAGAAACTTGTGCATAGTCAAACAACCAGGAAGTTGTTTGGAAATCCAGGATTCAAACCCTGACATTTTGACTCCTAAGTTCAGTATCTGAAATATCATAACACCCTGGCTTCACAGCCCTAAATATGAGATTCCCAAAGTTGATATGGGAGGATAGTTCATATACAGCACAGAAGCAGGAGGAGAAACAAAAGGGACAGGCATTGGTAAAGTGGTGAGAAATAAGGATGTTATATTCCACAGAAAAAAGGGCTATAGGAGAATAATAAGTAAATGTTTACAGAGGTAGGGAGCAGTGCACTTTAACAAAATCTCGAATGTTGGGTGATATATCTAAATTTAATGCCACTAGAAAAAATATTCATCAAATGTTCCTGAACGGGGAAACCATATGAAGACAAACTACTCTGCATGCAGGAAATAGTAGAGTAAGGAGAACTGAAAATCAGGAAAACCATTTTAATAACGCAAGGCCAAGAATGTATGATGGATGGTAGTGGGGGAGAAATTGAGGGGCGGCCGGTTAGCTCAGTTGGTTAGAGTGCAGTGCTCATAACACCAAGGTTGCCGGTTCGATCCCCATGTGGGCCACTGAGCTGTACCCTCCACAACTAGATTGAAACAACTACCTGACTTGGAACCGATGGGTCCTGGAAAAACACACTGTTCAATAATAATAATAATAATAATAATAATAATAATAATAATAATAGAAATTTAAAAGGCAAAAATTAAATATCACCACAGGAGACTAATGAAATGGGATTTGTAATAGACTGTGTATCAGGAGCAAAAAAGAGAGACATATTAGTGATAACTCCACAGCACAAAATCATGTGCACAGGAAATGAATGAGTAAGTGCTTATGAAGCACCTTCCATGTGTATCTTCCCTACAAATCATTTCATTTAATTCTGGCAAATGCTGTGGAGTAGTAAGTATCATTCCTGTTCTGGAGATAAGAAAGAAGGATCAGACAGTTTAGGTATCTCACCCAAGACCACATATCTGGTTAGTGACGATCACATAATCCCAAACTCATCTGTTTTTCATTATATCACAGCTAAAAAAGACAGTCAAGCACAAATGAATGTCAAAGTATCCTAGCCCATAAATTGCAGCATGTTTTGTAGACTAAAGAATCACTTTTCTTTTTTTTTTTTCTTTTTTTTACTATTATATGGCCTTACTTTAGTAATGCAATAGAGGATTTATGCACATCACAATACCTGTCTGTAATTTAAAGCATCTAGATAGATTGAGTTTTGAGCAAAAACCACAGATTTACAAGGCATATTGATTCCTAAAGCAAGTGTCCCAGTAGCTGTCACCACCTAGAAAGAGAATAAAACAATTACCTCATGAAACAGGACTTCTATAGAATGCCATATCGTTATTGAACTTTGAATTCAACTAAACCCCTGTGGGAACATTAGAGATACTAACCACATCGGTATTTTTGCTATTTCACAAACACATCAAGCACATTTCCAGTTCAGGGCCACACCAGTCACTCTGCTCTGCACATAATGTTGTTTCCCAAATATTTGTTTATTTGGTTTATCCAGTTCTCTGCTTAAATGTCAAAAAAATTTATGGACTACCATATTCAAAATAACCACCCCTATCATCAGTATTTCTCTCCCTACTCTATAGCATTCCTCTTCATAGCATTAGTGACTACCTGAAGTAATATTACTTGTTTGTTTAATTGTCCTACACCAGACTTCAAGCCCCATTCAACATTGTATCCCCATGCTGACAAGAGCACCTGGCACATGACTGGTGTTCAGTAAATATTTTTTTAATAAATAACTAGAAAGGGAATTTCCCTATGACAGGGTAATAATGCTTTTACAAACTCACTTGTGGGCAACTGCCTACTTCATCACTATAATTTATTTGTAAAGGTTATTTCTATGGCAATAATATTTTTAACTAATAAAAGCAAAATAAAGTTTCATTTCTTCCCTGAATTACCATGATAACTGATGAGAAAAGAAGTAGGACAAACTTTAAAGTTTCCTAAATAATCCACTTTTGCTTATTTTTTCATATAATGCTGGGTATTTCTAATTGCCCTGTCTTTCCCTTTATGTTGATTATCATACATGCCATGATTAATGTTAATGGTAAAGTACATGAGGTAATTTTCTCCAATTAATCTGTAACAGACATCTACACATCTGTTAAAATGTAATACGCCATTTAGTAACTGTTTATCTAAAGGTTTTTAATAAGAACAAAAATGGGAAAAGTAAGAACATTAAATTTAGAATGTAACTAGAATAAATACCTTTTTTGAAAATGTGTTCTTTGTAACAAAGTTATTACTATTTCCATAGTACCTTTTCTAGAATGATCTAGCAACTACTATTTAGCAGGTATTATTTTAGACACAAAATATACTGATTAAACTATGTGTGTTTCTTTCTTTCAATGCATAATCATGGAGAAAATTTTTGTCCCCAGTTGTTGACTTTTAAAATAAACAAATAACTTATTATTATTTAAGAGAAAATCTAAGCCAAGTTATTCATGATATATTTGGGGTTTTTCCAGATTACAGATTTGCCCTTTAATTATAGGGTCAGATTTTCCTCAACCTTTATTTATTAAGATTGAAAGATACTACCCAGAGTAGCAGAATCAATATCAACCTCAATTCCTCTCTCTTTCTCTCTGTCACACACACACACACACACACACACACACACATCACACAGATATAATGTATATCATACAAAAATTTAAGATAGATAATTTGAAAAATTCAGAATCTATTTTTAAATATTACTCAAGATCTAAAGTAACTAGGAAATTATATAAACCCTCTCTGTGAATTTATCTAGACTATACCCATACAATCTCATGGGACATAATTATACATTACAAGGGTTTGGTTTGCAAGCTATTTCACGTCATCTTCCCCTTGTCCACTATCAGTGATAGGAGAGACAGCATTTAGGAGTGACACATCTAAAAACTCTACCAAGATATGCAGTGGGCCCCATAGAAGCAATCCATTCTTGCTCTTATTTCAGCTATTACATTGAGAAAATATCTGATCAAAACACTATTGTAAATGTTGTCCAAGCCCATGAAAGAACGTCTATAGTCAAAATTATATGAACAACGGACAAAATTCCCTAGGTACTATAAATGGAAAAGCAAGGGGTTGCTCTAAGATCAACATAGGTAATTTTATTATAGAAATATTTGGAAAAGTATCTGTTTAGGGGCTATTTTACTTTCATGAAAAAGGTAAACTGAATGATAAATTTCAAACCCCTTCCCTCAATTAAATAAGATGGGGAAATATGCAGTTATATCAAGGTTCATAAAAAAAAGACACAGTTAGATGAGAAAAAAGTATTAATAGTTATTTTCAACTTTTCTTGGGTATTCAGCTTTATATAGACACAGCTTCAAGTTTTAAAACAAAAAAATTTACCAACCTTAATAAAACCTTTCCTAAAAAGAATCTCAACTAACTGTTTTTCCTTGTGGGTCAAAGATCGGTGATGATATCCAATACCCCTTTCTGCCAAAGCCTTCAGTTCTGCACCTTTTCTTGAGAATTTCACTCGATCAAGTATCACCTGCAAAGTCTAAAAGAAGCAAGAGTTTTAGGGATTTTGATAAATTTTTTATCTAATTTTAATTTAAACCAGAATAAAAAGTGTTTAAATGAAAATAACAGGCATTCTATATTAATACTTTGGCTACATGAGGCAACCGTTTGCAGTTGACTCAACATAGGTACAAAGAACATTTTATGGCAGCAACAGTAACTATGGAACATATTCCCAAATCGTTCAGCACAAAGTCTTGCAATTTCACCACCCGCATACACACCCCCTATACCCACCCTGACCTCAGTCTCAAGGGGTGAGAAGTACTGACAAAGTAGTAGATAAAAACACCCAGAGGAGGTGTGAATGCAGGACATGCTCCTGCCTGAGTGCCTGAGGGAGGTCAGTTCCCCACTGGACCATTCCCCCCTCCTCCCGGGGGGGGGGAAGGAGAGAGAGAGGGAGGGGAGAGAGAGAGAGAGAGAGATCTCCAAAATGAGCAGATTCCTTACCCAATATTATCTTGGAATGCTTACTCCTCAGTGTAAATTATTCACAAATTGCCTTAAAAATATATATGCCCTAAGGAGGAAGTCCGCTTGTGTACAGAGTTATATGTACAAAAAATAAACACTACTTTAAGGAGAAAAAGAAAAACAATACCCCCCAAAATGTATACATGTATACAAAAGAATGGCTATCTACATCGATACTGTGTGTGTGTGTGTGTGTGTGTGTGTGTGTGTGTGTGTATAGTCACAAATAAAAGATATAAAAGGTTCATCTAGAAGGGCAATAATTACTTCTGATTGATAGCACTGGTTTTACTGTTACTAATTGTATTTTTAAATTTCTCTACCATAAGGTTGAATCAATTTATATAAAAAAAAAGTTTTAAAGAAAAAATGGCATACCACTTGAAGATATTTACATGCCGTTTTGATGGACTTTTTAGACTATAACATAGAAAGCCTGTTTTTGAGAAACTCTGCACATATTCTTTAAAGTGTATTGACCACAGGTACCCAAATATTCCAATGAAGCACGTGAGATCGAAGTCCAGAATTCAGGCTGCAAAGAACAGCATCACAGAAACAACTAATGAAAGGACAGGTACTCTCAGGGGTCAACTGTCAACAAGCAAGACATAATCTATAAATCCTAATCCTGTCCATTTTAGACATGCTCTGCAGAGTCCTCAAGAGTTTCGTGTAGCCAGGAGATGCCACACAGAGATGTCTATTCTGGTAAAGACTACCTTTAGTTATTACATTCGGTGCTGTCTATCTCTGAGGGGTGATGGCTAATGAGTGAAAGGATTTCCTGGAGAACTGTTCCACTGCAAGTGCTGACCTCAGTGTCCAGTGCTTTCCGATCAGCATACGTGCACTCCTCAGGGATTTCCAGGTTCTTCTCTAGAACCTTGAGTAGATTACTATATTCAGCTTCTTGTATAAAACTTTGATCCATTTTTCTGGACTTTTTCTGGCTTTTTTCATCACTGTTCATAAAAATAAATTTTAAATAATGAATAGTCAAATTTGGCCACTACAGAAAGCCCAAGACTCCCCTAATCCTCATCATGCAGACACGCACTCCTATGTACATCTGTACTATCCTGACTCAATCGGCTTCCTCTAATGCACTTCCTCATTGGCCTCTGAAACATTCTGTCCCTATCAAAAAATCCCCTACATACCCATATTTTCTTCCAAATGTTTCTCTTCCTTCTTGCTATAAGGAGCCTTCTTGCCAAATCCAGTCCCCACAGATGACCTCGCTTCCCCTTTCTAAAGTGGTGCCATTCACTAAAATGATGATCACTTTCTTTTTCTAGCAAAAGGTCTGGCCCTAATGTTTGCAGAGCGTGGGCCAGTGACTAATGGAGGCCCACACACCGTTGTCTAACTATTTGTAAGTTTTAAATCAAGGTTACAAGCTATTGAATAATACATTCCATCTTCCTACCTTAACAGATACAGCTCCACAACAACTTAGAATTTAAAAGGGTGAGAACGGGCTCCAGATGGACATGTCTCTGAATCTCCACTGACTCTGAATTTTATGGGACTGGATAGAGAAGGAGGAAGGTGAGGGCGGTGTTGTCCAAAGCACGGGGCCCAGGGCAGGGGCCCCACTCACCCTCAGTATGATGGACTGAACAAGATACTAAAACATTCTTTATAGTTTTATTGCCTGAGTTGTTGGTCACTAATTCAACTTGGAATGGCGGCCCCTAGTGCCCTGAACAGACGTTGCCTAATCAGAAGACCAGTTACCGAAAACCCTTATGCCTTCTATGTCGTCTCTGTCAGGGCTTTTCACTTCCCAATGCTTCCATGCAAACAGCGCAACAGGCAGAGGGGAGCATAAGCAGAAGGGTCAGCAGCACATTCCAGCTTGCTCTGGAATCATTTGAGAAATCTGAATCATAGAGGCTCTAGAAGCTGTTTCAGCTTTGAGGGAAGTATCTACCATTCATTCAAAAATAGTCTGGAAACAAGTATTACCTGCCAAGTAATGTGCTAAACACTGGAGATAAAAAGAAGAAAATACATGGCCTCTGTTGTAAAAAAAAACCCCAATAATTTAAGGGAAAAAACACATAAAAACAACAGCAATGCATTATAATAATTGAGCTACTAAATACTGAGAGTGTAGCAAGAGCACATGAAAAATGGTACTGAATTTAACTGGGGGAATTAGGGCAAGACCCAGAAAAAAAGATTAAAAAAATTTGAGTATAAGCTTTGGGGCAAGCAGGAAGATAGGCACTCAAGGCAGATGGGTGATATCATGGAAAAGCATAGAGGTAAAAGAACAAGTCATGTAAGGAGAACCATAAATGCTGAGTAATGTTAGACAGGAGTGGCAGAAAGTGAAACTGAAAAAGATAGGGCAAAGTCCAAAACATGTCATCACACCAACAATAGCCAAGGAGTTTAGAATTCATCACCTAAGCAAAAAAGCAAGAAGACTATTGAGTGTGGGATAATTGAATCAATTTGAATGTTATCAAGATCATTTGTAAGCTAAACTGGAGAGTGAGTGGTGAAACTTAAAAGCTCTGAGGTCAAAAAAAAAAAAAAGAAGACATGATGAGCATGTAAACAAAGCAGTGACCAAAGATAGGATAATAAAGAAAGAATAAATGTTTTGGACCTAGAGTTATCAGAATTAGACACTGAGCACAAGAAAAAGGAAGGAGTAAAGTTCTACCAAGCATAAAATTGCCATTTCAACCCATTCTCCAGATCATTCTATGTCATTGATGTAATTGTGATGGTTTATCAGTGACACCTCCATGTTGTGACCCAAGACAATGTGGTTAGACTTTGTTTCAGCCTTCTGAGGGCTGACTGAGAGCCAGTCACTAGGTATCAAGCTGTGCTTATTTTGAGAAATGATTATGTCAGGTACATAGTCTACCAGTACTCATCAGCAGTGGTCCTGCCTCTGCCAAGTCCTAAATGTGACTGATCTATGCAACTAAGGAATATATAAATATCATGGCCACTTATCTCTACCCTACTCTCCCACCAAAATTTACTCAATTTGCAAATAAGCCCAAGAAATAACCAGAACTTCTTCGTAGCACATTCAATATATGTTTTCTACTGGGATTTGAGAAGTATTTTAACCTTTCAACCAAGAGTTTGTTTCAGTAAATACTTACATTATCTTTTGTTTCTCGATGGATTTTTTAACTTTTTTAAGTTTGTTAGCCACAACATGAGCTTCTTTATCAGCTGTGAGAGGCCTTTCTCTCTCTTGCTTTTGCTCCAGGAAATTACTTGCGTTTATTGCGCTCTTTTCTACAGATCCTAACTTGAATCTGGAAACAAATGAAAAGAATGATTGCCTTGAATATAATGCTGTAAACAGAATGCAACCATATTTCCATCTCCTGCTATCACCCTGATATATACCTGTTGAATTTTTAATATCCATCTTTACGAGTTTTAGCCTGAACAGGCACACAGGTGTCCTGAGTCAGCCGACTCCTCGGTAACTATTTTACAGTACATAAGACATTCCCTCACACCTTGCCCAAGACCTTACCCCCAGGGCAACAGCAATAGAAGCTTATGGAAATATTTCCTGTAAGAGTAGTCAGACACTCCACAGGCTGGGGACAGAAGTCAACGGATTTTCTAAATTTATGTACAGAAAAGGGACGCCTCCCTCTCCTCATGAAAGATGAGAGAAAAAAAGTTTTTTAAACCAAAAAAGTTTGCTCTTTATTTTTATTGTTGTTGTAGTTGTTCTTGTATTTAATTCCACTGATCTTTAGGTCTATCTCATAACAGAATCAAAGGTCCCTAGTATTAGGTAAATATGTTTAAGTTCAGATTTCTTGATAACTAAATTTTTTGTGGATTTTAGTGCCTCCTTAGTTTTCTCTCTTTCCTTCCAGTTTTATTGAGATATAATTGATATACAACATTGTATAAGTTTGAGGTGTACAGCATGATGATTTCACACACACACACACACACACACACACACACACACACCCCAAAATGATTACCATAAGATTAGTTAACACATCTACCACCTCACATATTTACCATGTGTGTTTTAAGAACATTTAAGATCTACTCTCTTAGCAACATTGAAGTATGCAATACAGTATTGTTACTTATAATCACCATTCTGTATATTAGATCTCAAGAACTTATTCATCTTATACCAGGAAGTTTGTACCCATTTCTCCCACCCCTCACCCTTTGGCAATCACTAATGTATTATCTGTTTCTAGGAGTCAGGCTTTTTCAGATTCCACATACAAGTGAGATCACACAGTAAATTGTTGCTCTTTTAGGCAGGATATCCAGAGAAAATCTTGGGTTCTCACCCTAACCTTGTGGAATGTGACTACTTCTTTCCAGAGTTCAGATGAGACCCCAGGTATGCCAGCCTTTACAATCCAGAAAGGTATTGTGTCTGGTCTTTATCCCTTTTGAAATGTAAATTCATAGGGACATAGTGGTCCAGACTTCCTGGCACCTTGGGGTTTAAATTAGAGACGTAGTCTGGGTTGTAGCCATTTGTCCTTTTCAGACCTAACCAACTAACTAGGCAAATGGCTACAGACCCACTTCTCCTAGTATGTGAAGAGTGAAATATTTCTAGGGGAAGCAAATCAAACATTCCTTATCCTTATATTACATACATTGCCCTGTATCAAGAAGCTAGGGCTTTTGACAAGAAGACTGAAACATCCACCTAAGTTTTATTCCCCTACAATACCTTTAGCAAAATGCTGTGGCTGGAAGTAGTCAATAGCCATTTAAATATAGCTCATTATAGCAAATCCTGGGTTAGGTCTATACAATGAAATTTTTTAAATGTAAATTGTGAGACAAAGGTCTTTTCTAAAGTCTTCACAGGAAACTAGCATGAGGAGGAATGTTGTTAGTGAAGAGTAAATAAATTGGCACACTGGTAAAGGAAGAATTAAGAAAGTGGCAGCCTATGCCACATGGCAAGGAATTTCATGTAGTAGACAGTAAAATAATAAAGATAGGAAACATTACACTTACTATGGTCAGACACTATTCTAAGTGTCTTAAATATATTAATTCATTTAGTACAACTCTATGAGGAAGGCACTATTAGGATCCCTATTTTGCAGATGAGAAAATGGAGAAATAAAAAGATTAAGTGGCCTGTCCCAAATCCCACAGCTTGTATGTCTCAGAGTCCAGCCCCCAAGACAATTCTCTTACCCTTGACGTTATGTTGCTTCTCTGTTTTACTTGAATGAAAGTTACTGTGACCGAGGCACATATTCCATATTGAACAATGCCATTTTCCTCATAGTAGTTCATTTGTTAAAATCTAGGTCACTTAAAGATAATTTTTCCTCTTAAATCTTTCTGATAACCTACATAGAACAAATGAGCTCCAGAGATTGGACCTCAGTCAATATGCTATTATAGTACAGTACTAAGTAATTTCACAATTTATTTTCAATTCGCAACCCCAACCCAATGCATTATTTTTGTCATCTCATTTTGCAAATGAGGAAACTAAGGCTCAAAGCCACTAAGTAGCTATGTAGAAGTGACGGAGCTAAGAGGGAGCTGTGCCTATCCATGAAGGGTGTGCTCTTGAGCACACACTAAACTGTCACTAAACACTAAACATGCTCCACACTATTATTTTTTCCAGAGACCAGACTGGAGAAAGTTGACATGTATGCTATTATTTGAAAAGCTCCCAGAGGTACAGATTAAGCCCTGACAAAGCCTGAGATTTGTTAATAATCTGGGGCTATTTAGGACTAAATCAAGTTGTATAAGACCAAGGATTGGCCCAGTATGTTTTGCAGAGAACCCAAAATTCCTTAAAAGATGTGCCAAGATTCAACTCCTCAAGCAGAATTAAACATTTGATGTTCTTGTGAAATATTTTACTTTCAATACTTGAAAGTGTGTGTATATAATATATATATGTATATAGTGTACATACACACACACGTACATATATGACTAGTGAATACAATTATTTTTGAATTTCTATTTTGCAGTTAGACTTTCAGAAATATACCAGAGATACTAAATTATGTTTATTTGTAAGTAAGACCTGAAGCCATGCTTGAAAGTAAAGTAGGTAAGCTGTGTTACTTCTTGGTAGTTCAGAAATTTATTTTTCAGAGTCAACAACAAAGGTAAAACGAACACTTTTATTGCAATTCTCAAAACACAACATATATTCAATTATCATCATTACTTTAAAGATACATTATCAATGATTATTCATTACTATATGTCTACTTATAGGTGAACAATTTTCATTAAACTTTGCCACCTAAGCAAGATTCTGTGGCCTTACTTATATAAAGCTTCCATGGATTAGAGTAGTTTGAAATTGTCTGAAGTGAATAAAGCTTTCTATTCTGATCCCAAAATATGTGATCAAGGTTAATCCAGGATATAGAGTGCTATTCATTTAATAAATGATATTTTTGCATAACTTATACTTTATCAAAAATGGAATATTACATTTAATGTTAAGCTGTTCCATGCTATAACAATATAAAATCTAGCAAGGCATCAGTGCCTATAAGTTATAGTTCTCATAACTATAAATTAAAAACGGTAAAATACTCCAACAATAAATACTCTAGCATAGTCTGAGGATACTTCAATTTTATGAGAGATACTTGTGTGCCTAAACATTCAATTTGTTTTGCAAAGAATCTAGGTATTTACTGAACAGAGGTATTTAACAAGACATAGATAAAAATACAATAGTAAAAAGAAAACAAGAAATGGAGAAGGTAATTTGTAATGGCACAAGTAAAAATACTTTATTAAGAATTAAACTAGAGACATCATAGAAATGGCGGCAGTGAGGCGGGCTCCCTAAATTCTCTCCTGGAAATTACCACAAATTGAACAGTTATAACCCATCAGAGAACCCTCTGCTCATCACACAGAACAGCTAAGAGACACACAATGATTACATGAAGGTGGGCAAACCGGGCGAGTGGGGCAAGAGGAAAGGGAGCCGTGTAGAGGCACAGCCTCCACCCGCGGCTGCGGAGACTAGGGGCCCCAGGAAGCAGATCGGAGAGTATTACGGCAGCCAGGTGGCGGGCTCACTGCACACCACACAGTCCCGCTGTGAGGGCCGCAAGAGCACGCTGGAGCATCTGAGGCAGAAGCCTCGGCTCAAAACTGCGGCGGGACTTTCTCGGACAGAAAGCAAAAACAACTTCATAAAGAAGACCCCACTCCCACCCTCCCTCAGAAACCCTAGCCCCACCATTCCAGAGTCTTAAATTGATCCCTGAATGGAGTAGTGTCAGATTACAGAGGCGCTCGCACTCCCAGGAGGTGGAGGGGCTAGGCTAGGAAAGAGGCTGCAGAGTGTGGGACTGCCTACCCCGCCCCCCACCGTTCTGTTCGGCTTGGCTCCTGGCAGGGCAACTTCAGCTGCTCAGTCACTCCCAGGACCCTAGCAGGGGGCTTTCAGCAGCTCAGAAATCTCACAGCCCTCACAGCCCTCTCACAGCCCCCAGCGGAAAGAGTGCCCTAAGACACACGTTGAGCCTGCTGGCTGCAGAGCTTTCAGCGTGCCTCAGGGCAGGCAACAGCAGAAATGGCGATGACTTTGTAAAAACTACCAACCACATCCCACTCATCTAGACCTGCATCGCCAGGGTCACTCTGGGTGCCAGGTGGCTGGCTCTGCCTCCACAAGACGCAGAGGAGATTTTGTATAGCAGAGGACAACCTGGAGATAGCTTGATGGACTTTAACCAAGACTGGCACTGGTTGTTTTTTGTTTGTTTTGTTGTTGTGTGTTTTTTTTGTTTTTTTGGGGTGTTTTGTTGTTGTTGTTTTGGTTGTTTTGTTTTTCTATTTCATTATTATCATTTTTATGTATATATATATATATATATATATATATATATATATATATATATATCCATATATATAGGTGTGTAGACATAGATAGATAGACAGATAGATAGATAATCTCATATTTTCCCATGTATAAGATGCACTCTTTTCGAAAAATTTGTGGTCTAAAAACTGGGTGTGTCTTATACAGTGGTTGTAGATTTTTTGACAGTGATGAGGAGTTGTATGAATTTTATGATGAATAAAACTTAAGTTCAATAACTTTGTGTAATACATTTTTTTCCAAATTTCGGGCCCCAAATTAAAGTGCATCTTATATATGGGAAAATAAGGTATTTTTTTTTCTTTTCTCCCCTCTGTCTCCCTTGTTTTCTTCTTTCTTTTCCCTGCTCTACTTTTTCTCCTTTTTCCATTTCTCTGCAATTATTATTTTGTTGTTGTTGTTGCTAATTTTGTC